TGACCTTTGGGACCACACACCGGTATCTGACAACAAATATCCTCAACCACCTCTTGAATACGATCCTCAATGGTTTTCTCTGGCCAAGCCTGGCAAAGGTAAAATGCCACCCTGTATTTTGCACGATGATGAAGTCCTTGGTAATCACCTAGACACCACCAAAGGCGAACCAGCTCTTGAACTTATCTTCCTTGCTGAAAAGTATTATTCCGCCCATCCCAATATTGCTAGACCTCTCACCTCAGCGACTACGGCTAAGACTAAAAGAGGCAAAAGAAAAGCTTCGGAAGAACTGACTATTTCAGATCAGGAGCTTGACGATTACTTCAGTAGTGACAATTCTCTCGGTACTGCTAGATATTCATTGAGCAAAACCACTAGAAAGAAATCCAAATCTACCCCTTCAACTTCTACTCGAATCACCTCACCACCCCTAACCCGCACCAAAAGGGCTACAACCTCAAAGTTGAACCAACCTGTCAGGCCTTTTAAAAGTCAGACCAATAATAATAGCTTAAGCTCTCTACCACCACTTTTCACTCCTCCGCCCAACATGAGGCACTTAAATGCAATTGATGAAAGAGCACAAATCACCGAGGTAGTACCACCAAATCACACACGTAAGTGAAAGCTCACTGCTCTGAATTCACAACAACAATCTGACATTCCATTTTTGTTTGTAGTTGTAGCCTTTGATTTCCGTGCACCCATGGACATTTCTGCCTTTGGGCAAAACTTTCCAATGGCTGCACCACTTCCATCTAATCCTACATCAGATGGTTTTATTGACGGAAAGAGATTACACATGCAATCTAGTTCCAAAGGAAAGCCCGAATGGAAGGCAGTTCAGTATTATTTCAAGGTTGATGAGAGTATCAAAATTGGTGAAGGCGGTTTCAGGATATGCTACAAAGCCTTTGGAAAGGATGCAACGGGTGATGTGATACCTATGGTGGCTAAAAAGCGGATGGTTTTGCCGTACCGTAAATCTGTGCTGGATGTTCACACAGAATGAGCAATTCAAGCAAAAGGCATTGGAAGTTGATAGGATCAAGCTCTCCCCTCATCTAGCAAGAATAATTGGCGACATACGTGTAAGTCTAGGAACTAGCTTGATGTCTAGTATGATACTAACCATATTGAATATCGCAGATTGTAAATAACTTTCCAGTCTACTCCGGGAGAAGTATGAGTCCAGATTCAGCATATTTCTTTGAAGAACTGCTTGACGTCAAGAATTATTGCAAGTATACTAGCAATGTCAACTTTGAGTGTCGTGGGCCAGAAGGTGACATGACTCATGATGTGATGCATGCACTGACTCATTGGTCATACCAATACTATAGTGGCAAGCGGATAGTTGCTGACCTGCAAGGCGTAGGAAGTGTCCTTACTGACCCATTGATTGTGGATGATAGTTTGTAAGTCCCACTCCGTATTACTAATCCCTCTGATTGTAAGTAGCTGAGTATTTGAGTATTGCATTGCACAGGTTAACTTGGAGTGAAGGAAATACAGGAAAGAAGGGTTTGAGAAACTTTAAGGACCAACATAAGTGTGGTAAAGTATGTGATTTAATGGGTTTAGTGCGTCTTCCGGACTCAAAGGACTCTGATAATGAAGTTGAGATACTATATGGTAAATCTGCCTATCAATCTCACGTTCCACAAGGGACTCAAAAGTATCAGTAGGGTCACATACTCTTTCCAATTCATTTTTAAACATACTATTGAGATAAAGAAAAGAAATCATTGTAAATATTTTAGAACAGAACCGTGTGATTGGTGATATGAGTCAATCTTCCTTTCAAGCTGCTCATCATATGTTCCAGCAATTTTAGGATGGTATCTTTCCCAAGCGTCATCATCCATATCCCCCCTCATATCCATGATATTATTCATTGCTTGTACAACTGCTGATGTGATTTGAGAGCAAGAAGCATAGGCCACCACATGCTGACCATCAAGACTCATGGTCCCACCGGATTGACCAACAGTCCTAGCTTTATTTTTCTGCCTGGTAATTGCTGCTTTTAAACTTGTCAACTTTTTTTGCTCTTCTAGTGAAAAAAGTGCATGACTAGTGTAATGATTAATGTCAGTCGCCCAAATCAACTCTACCAAATCTGCTGCATTGATATCTATCTTAAACTCAAAATGCCCAACCACCATGATAAACTGAGCACCAACTTCAGGATGTTCCTTCTGGACATACTTCCCAGTCTTCTTTTCTTCCAACAATTCTTCGGCCCTTTGGGCCTGCAGTGCCAATCGTCTCTCTGGTGAAATGATATTGGCTATAGACATGTTGATCAGTTAATTAAACACATGGTGACAAGTATAATACAAAGAAAACTCAACATGTGTAAGCATCAATCAAACAAAAGAACCCGGATGCAAACCCAGTGGCATCAAAGTCACAATGTGGGGCATTGCGGAAGCCTCCTGAGGTCACAATGGTACTTGACCCTACAAACACCTGCCCATTGGGCGACTTTGTCCATTCCTTAGTCCCTGGAACTGGTTCTCTGGAAGCCCAAGAAGGAGCACAAGTTTTGATTGCAACTTCCCTATTGCTTTCATATGCATGTAAGCAGAGAGAGGAAGTCCTTTCAGCCTGGAAGTTATGAACCCATGGTAAATCATCTTGCCGCATTTCATCTTCCTTAAGTTTACCAAAGTCACCGCTAGTGCTAGAATTCTGTGCAAAAGGACCTGTAAAGCAGTCACCGTAGAGTGAACCTTGAGGTTCAATTGCAAGAAGAAACATCCCTACTTACTAATTTTCTTTCCGTACTTGTGTTTGCCAGCTTGTCTGGTAGACCGGAAACCAAATCCCCTCATTTTACCTTGCCTTTCTTCCTCAGGCAGAGCCATAACCGCATGATTGTCCGGAAGGTTTCCTCTACTCTCTGCATGTAAATGCATGGTTCTAATAGCTCGACGGAAATCCTCCCAGAGCTGGATTGATGATGGATCAGTGCTAGAAGGATCCTACACAGTCCATCTTATTGTCAGCATATGTTACTTTTATGAGGAAGAGTCCAATGTACCTCATGATTGAATCTGACTACACAAATCAATTTGTTTGCGGCCAGATTCACCAACACCACTGTACCTCTGGTAACTTCCCTGATTTTAGGCTGTCCAAATGCAGGAACCCGGGAAACCTGACAATCTTTGGGAAGGCCAAACCTTACTCTAATACCACCGTCAATTTTCTTACTTACAACTTCTCTAGTTTGACTTCTTTCAGCTTCACGATTTGTCTGACGTAAATTTTTATTCTTCACCTGTTTATAAAGAACTTTCCTAGCTGCCTTATACTCAGCCCGCTTAACAGCTTGCTTTTTCTTCTTGGCATCAGATGGGTGCTTAGCCATCTGTTTAAGATAAGTAAGTTAGTCATGATTAGGGTTACCTTGCTCAGAGAGATATAACATCTCACCCCAAAAACCTGGCTCCAGAAAGAGGAAAACAAAGGTCAGTTCATGTGGAATGCTTCAGAATGATCACCCACATATAATGAGAATGGAGTGGAACACACAGGACTTGGTGATATGTGAATCAAGAGGCTAGACCAGTTATCGGGGTTCCCCTCAGTCACCTATTCTTACCCCTAAAGAGTTCACATATCCTCAAGTCACTGTCTGCTACCACTCCACCCTCACAACATGAGATGAAAATCTGAAGCTATGAAAGTGACGGAAGATTGATGAAATAATACCTGGATGGAAGCACTTGATTGATGTGATGTTGGAAGTGACGGCAAAAATACTTATACCTTTGATCTTTCTGCTACAAGTTTGACTCCAAACTTATAGAAAACCAACCCAGGGCCAGCTTGTGGTTTGCTGATCATTATACATGTGGTTGTATACTGTCAGCATGGCCAGAATGTGGGTTGAAGTCATGTGATCAGTCGTGGGCAAAGAATTGTCTTAATTCCGTACTTGCAAGCTTGGTTCCATGACATGTATTGCCATTACAAAATTGTTTAAAATAAAAAAAAAGTACAAGACAACATTTTTTAATTCTGTACTTGCAAACTTGGCTCCATGACATGTATTGCCATTACAAAATTGTTTGAAATAAAAAAAAAGTACAAGACAGCATTTTTTTCATTCAAGATAAGCATATTTTATTTCATGATCAACAATTATGATTGTACCAATCATCTTCTTCACCCAATAACTGAAGACTGGCCCCTTGTACACCCACTTCGGTACAATAGGGTACAGGAAGTAGCAAACAGTTACTTGATATCCTGGTACTCCAGTAATAACCAATGTCATAAGCCAAACATACTGCCAAGGGTACCTTTTGCACATGCACACCATCAAACTTGGCATTAGAAACTGAAGTATCACCTTTGAAAGAGTTGTAATTCCTAGACAAAAGCCTCATGATGTAGTCGTGAGTCCTAATCCATATGGTTTCTTTGATTAATACATTTCTGGCCTTCTGTATGTCAGCTGCAGCCTTCACAACAGCTAAAACAGTTGGAGCCGGAGTATTCTTGCAGTCCCTTGAAGTGAGCATTAAACCTCTGACACCACTGATTAAAAATGATCCTAAACAACCCCAGGTAAATCTAGATTTCTTAACAAGTTTGATTTGACTATCAAGACGATTATAAAGTTCCTTATCTTCATTTGAGCTTTTTCCTTTAGGCATTTTTGCATATAAATCAAGTATTGCCACACCAAGGATCACATTATGAACATTTGTAGCAAAGTAGTTAAGATTGATTAGACTTGCAGCCTTCTTCATGGCATTTGAATCTTCAATTAAGTGTACTCCGGCTGATCCAAGCTTTGGGCTGGTTTCGAGAAGATATGTAACAAATCGAAAGCTGTTCTCGTAATCCGTCAAGTCGGGTTTGGCCGAAAAATCTTCATGACGTATGACTTCGTCTGCTGCTACTGCAATTGCATCCTGAAATAAACGAGACGCCTCTCGCTGATGGTATTCAGAAGGATATGCAAGTGGTCTCATTAGTCAATAGATTTGGAAAGCCATTGAAGTCTTGTTTTTTGGAGGATCATCTTCCGGTCGGAATAAGATAGGGGTCCAAATTTCGGAACTGAACAGCAGCTCTCCTTGCTGAGGTGAGAAGAAATCAACACCTTTGAAAATACTGAATCAGTTGCTGGTCTCAGTCAAATGTACCATATACCATTCCAAGTACTCACCTTGTTGTGTCAGGTTTTGAATCCATTCCCCCGGAGACATCATCTCAGAGTCTGAAAAGGTAACACCCTTTGGAATTCCATATCTTGGGTTGACAAGGAGTGGAATATGTTTTGATCTCAACATTAACAAATTTAAAACAAGGTCGCGTCCCTCTGCATATTTTGCACGTGAGATTCGGATGGGAAACATCTTGAAAGCTTCCATAAAGACCTCTTTGTTGATGTTGAAGAGGGAGCGAGGCGTGACTCTAGGAGTGTCTTCCGGATCGCTGATCATGTGTGTATCAGGCTCAATCATCGGTTTGTCAGTGGGCAGATCAATGTCCATAGCATTTAAGTCCAATTGGTTCAGGTCGTCCTCAGGCAATTGGATGTCATTGCTTGAAGATGCAAGACATTTGTCCACCGGGTTCGTAATCTGTCCTGTTGAAGGTAATTCGGCAGATTCTTTGGGTGGTGCAGAGTTCTCAAGTGCTGCATTGGGATTGGTAGAGGCCGGTCCCAAGCTACTTGCTGCCTGGGTGGAAGAGCTAGCTCCAGTTGAAACCGTTTGGACAGTGATGTTTGGATCAATTCTCGGATCAATGGTTGAGTTGGAGGTGGGATTCGTGATAGGATCAATCTGATGTGTGACTGGTTCAATAGTTTTGGGCGAACAAGAGTTGGAATGAGTTGGACCTGAAGAAGTTCCAACTTGAGTACGTGAAGGAGATTCCGTTGAAGTTGATTTTTCAGTCTCAGTTTGAACCGAATTTTTCTCAGGAGCTGGCTGACTTGATTGTTCATTCGAAGAAGGTCCAAGTTCATTCCGTGGAGGAGATTCCGGTGGAGATTCTTGATTCTGAGTTTGAAACGGATTTTTCTCAGGAACTGGCTGACTTGGTTGTTCATTAGAAGAACTTCCAGCTTCATTACGTAGAGGAGTTTTTTGAGTCTGAGTTTGTACGGGATGTTCATCAGGGACTGGCTTGTTTTGTTGTTCATTCGGAAGAATCGTAGAGTCCAAGTTGTCTCTATCATTTGGTTGGTCCAAGTCATCTTCTTCCTCCTCAGGGTTTTCTTCTTCACCATCATCTCGGACCGGATCAAGTGCAAGACGTGGTCTTTTTGTGGTGGGGACTTGGGAGCCAGCATAGTTCTTGACACCACTAGTCTGACGGTCCGATCGTCGAATGACAGTAGGATCAGGCATATCATCTCTTGTTAAGTCAATGACAATTACCTTGTCGCTTGGTGGTGGATGAATGCCTTTACGCAGATCTAAGAATGATGTATAAATGTTAGCTAAGGAAATCAGAGTTGATAAATTGTGATCTTCAAAAGACATACTGATAACTCTGGCCTCACATATCGCAGCAGCAGCCTCCATGTGTTTGATTGCATCATCCGGGATGTCAGGGCCAGTCTGCAGCTGACGGAGCACAGGAACCGGATGGGAGCAATTCCGCTCGAACTCAGCCTTGGTCACATGCCGCAATTCCGCTTTGGACAATCCAGATGATTGTAACTGAGAGAGAGGTCCAGGAACCGTAGGAGCTTGTGGAAAGGCCTGATGCGAGGGTGCGGACAATACTTTGGCTGCATCTGGTTTGATTTGGGTATTGGAGTCATCCAAATCTTGGTCTTCGGAGTCGGTGTCCATATCCATCGTGGATGGAGTAGGTGGGCGGTCACCAGGAATAATATCCTCACCAATTTGGGTTAAAACATTGGTATGGGTAAGATCCTCCATTTGATGATGGTTGAATTATTAAGTTGGTTGGTGTTCAACAAAAAAAGTTGATGATGCGAGTGGATGAGTTGAATTTGAAATGAAAAATTGATTGAATGAGAGGGAGGGAGTGATCAAAAAAATCAATTGATATCTTTTTCAATCTCAATTGCATACAGGTTGTGTATACTTTGAGTGGGAGAAGGGCCTTTCTCACTTACAGGCCACCTAAGCCTAGGTGGTCTTCCTATTAAAGTTTGTCCGTAGACCCCTCAGGCTTAGGTGGCCTTCTCCAGTCGATCAACTGGAGGAGTGGCCCTGGGACCAGCAGAAAAGCACCGGTCCCAGGGCCACCTCTTCAGTCGATCGACTGGAGAAGGCCATTTAAGCCTAGGTGGTCTACCTCTCAAGGTCTCTGCATTGGAGATTGACCACCTAGGCCTAGGGGGTCCTTTTTTCCAGTCGATTGACTGGGGAAAAGGCCCAAGGACCGGCAGAGACGTCAAAGCACCGGTTCCAAGGCCCGAAAGAGATCACCTAGCCTCAATGATGAGCATCATCATGGCCTCTAAGCTACAAATGATTTTGTGTGGTATCAATCACAAATAAAATTATGTCTTTCACATAAACCCCACATAGAACGGTGGACTATGCAGACCAAGAAACAGCAGTAATTAAAATTCCCATAACGTGTTTGATAAGTTGATAACCATGGTTGTGGTGATCCATGCAAATCTCGGCAAGTTTTGTCCCCACAAGCGCCCCACATTGGCAAATCCATTTGTCTTTCCCCACATGGATTTTCCACGCATGTCATAGCCTGGTATGACTTGCATTGAGTTTGGTGAGCAGATTCACATATATCAACATGTGTGTCAACCAGTAAAAAAGGTCAAGTTTCCACTTTTTGCATCCATTAAACCATATCACCCATCACCCAATTATCATTCACATCATCATATATATCACAGTATGACTCCCCAAGTTGTGTGCGCTGGTTGTGTTACCTTCAAAATTGTCACCTTGACGTCATCAGCTACGGAAGTACAGCTCCCTCTCAATTCCCCAATACACATATTCATTCCTGATCAACAACAGGAGTACCCACAGATCAGACTGGTAATTCCGAATGGGAAAACTATTGGTTACTTACCACCACATCTTCAATCATTTCTACTAGAAATACTAGGAAATCAACAGGGCAAACATAAATCAAAGCCAGCTGGAGGTTGGAATCCAACTGCCAACCAATTAGCATTCATCAGCAGCTCTGTCCA